CTTTTAATTTATTTTTAGCACATCTTGACAATACCAAAATCAGAAATCAACTACGAGTTGAGATTTGAGTCTTGGCATATCTGAGATAAAAACATTTGATCCTTTTAAAAGCTTCTTCGATTGAAGCCGCATCCGCTGCAAATGTTATCCTCAGCCAGTTCTTCAGCCCCACCGCGGTCCCTGCTCAACCGCAAAGAAATATATCAACAAAAACAACTCTGAAAATGTAAAATTCACTATTAGAGATTGAAATAATATCCTCACCTGGAAGAAGAATGACTGATTCTTCTCTAGCTAGCTTGAAACAGAAGTCGATATCGTCGCTTACATCTTCGAGTAACGAGAGATCCAACTTAACCTGAACAGAATACAAATAATTAGACAATATTTAAGATGTGTAACAATTGGTGAACATTGTTCATAATGTAAATATGCTCACCATCATTGCCATGGACCCTTCTGGTCGATACGGGGAATCAATACAAGGAATCTCCTTGATCCAGTCACAGCAAATATCAGAGGAGTTCTTCAACAAGTTTAAAGTTTTCTTGAAGAATGATTCGTCTGTCTGTTCCAGAATCGTGGGAACTGCAGCCTGATATCGCAACACAATCAAGAACAAAAATGATGTCTTAAGATCATCAGAAACAATAAAAGTTAATTTTGATCAATCTAAGTAAATATATATACCTGAATAAATGTGGCTGGTCCACCAAGAATATCGAAGTATTTCTTAAACCGCTCAATGATCTGATCCAAATGAACAATATATCGATCAGTAGATGGCTTATTTGCACTCTCACGCTCTCTACATTACTGATTTAATTTGAAAGAGATTGAAGCTGTTACTAACCTTAGGGTCCTTAAACGAGCCAGAAGGATCAGTGGTCACGAACCACCCGAGCCGCCAACCAGGAACTATCCATCTCTTTGATAAAGATCCAATTGTCAGCACCGGAACAATAGATCCAAACACACCCATTGGCACAAAAGGTTTGCTCCCGAAAGCTAGATGACCGTAAACTTCATCAGCAATCAAAAGAAACCCAAGTCTTTTCGCCGTTTCCGCAACCTAAACCCCAAAAAAAAAAACACAAATTTGTACATATCAAATTCCAAACAGCAACAACATTGGTTCTGTTTCCTCCAGTCAAAGTTAAAAGCTAACCTTCATCAAATGCTGGTAACTATACACATTACCGCAAGGATTACCAGGGTTTATAACAACCAAAGCAACGGTGTTTTCATCTGCAAGAGACTCGACAGCATCAAGGTTGATCTCCCATCCGTTATCTGGCAGAAGATCGAAGTAGCGAACCTCAAGGTGTCTAAACTTAGCACAGAGTTCATAGATCGGGAAACCAGGTCTTGGAAGAAGTATATTGGCCCTGGGACGAGCCAACATTGCCAAAGCTACATCAATCGCTTGCGTGCAACCCGATGTGATGAACACATCATCCTGTGACAGTTTGTATGGAAGATCGCGCGATAAGTACTCCGCGATTGCCCTGTTTTATTACACAAAAAAGTGTGAGACTTGATTTGCAAGTTACTTATCTGCTTTTTCTTATTGAGATTCAAAATGAAAATACAGCAAACATTCCCTTGCAATGAGAATGGTTCAAAACAAGTCAGGAACAAAAAATGTTTCACCAAACCAATAAAACAAGCCAAATTAAGATGGTCGGTTCAAATTTTCGGTTCATTCTTAACCACAACGAATTTGGCATCCCTTGGCCGTAACAACTCCACGCATATACATATATATATATCCAGAATCTAGTAACAAAAGCTAAGAACCTAAGCAAAAGACAAGAATATAAAAAGTCTACGTGTATAAAAGATAACGGTTGTGACGGAGCAGTTAAACATGAAGCAAGAAAAAGACAAGAGAGATAGCGGGGAAAAGACGTAAATGACCTTCGGGACTGGGGAAGACCAACGGTTGGAGCATAACCATGAAACTTGTTGGAGAGGAGAGAATCTGAAACAGCTTGAAGTGAAACTTGCGTCGTACGGAAACAAGAGTATAGTGTTGGATCTCCCATTCCCAACGATATGACTTTCTTCGAGCATCTTCCTTCTACCTCTTCCACTGCGATGCATTCCATTAGCAAACTCAGGATCCCTTTAATGGTGATTGTTGTGTTCGTCGTCGTCGATCCATTCTCCATCTTTCTTTCTGATTTTAGGTTTTTCAGTGATGGTTTTGGTTTTGAGTCTTTTCGGTGCAGTTTGCAAAGAGAGGATTTTGGGTGTTTTGAGAGATTTGCCAGATTGGAGAAAGATATATATAGAGGTGGATTTTCTAACTTCACAAGAATCACAACCACTCGTTTTTCTCTTTGATTTAATATTTTATATTATAATATTGAGAAGGTTGAAATAAGGAAATATTGGTTTGTTTATCCGGATAGGACAAGCTTTTGTATATTATTATTACATAACCAGTCCTTTGATAAACAGGAATATAATCTACTTTTATGGATTTTATTGACGTTTAAAAATAATATAAAAAGACCTACTGTTTTCTAATATTTGTTTATGTCTTTCTAAAACACTTAAAATCATTTATTACTAATGAGTTTGGACATATTTGTACTAAGTAAACAGATACTCCTTGATCAACTGAAAATTAAAATATATGCGAAGAAGCCTGTTAATATTACGCATAGCCATATATTACTAAAAACAAAATTCAATTTCTTTCTGGTAAACTTTCAAAGATTTTGATCAGAACCTGATATGGCTAAAATTTGTAGTATTCAGGAATGTTTACAAAAGATTTGTGACAATGTTGACAAAGGAACAACAATCGATTGTTAGCCAAAAAAAATAAATTTGCAATTGACTTGTGACCGAAAGACTTTCCGCAGAAATAGTTAACATGTGATACGTATGTGATCAATCTTATCAACCCACAAAACCATATGTACTTAACAGATAAAAGAAATAGTGTTGTAAATTTCTGATGAAAATTTCTGTTATTTGGCCACAAATGTTACTAACTAATTTTTAACCAAAAGCCAAATTAAATAAAAATCGCTATAAACTTTAGATAAAATTGCAACTATTAATCGAAAATATGCAACAAGAAGACAAGATGACAATCCG